GCCCATCAATAATAGACTGGACACAGACAATGTGGTACATATACACTATGGAATACTATGCTGCCACAAAAAGGAGTGAGATCATGTCCTTTGAAGGGACATGGGTGAAGATGGAAGCCAATGTCCTCAGCAAACTGACACAGGAACAGAAAACCAAACACCACATACTCTCACTCTTAAGTGGGAGTTGAACAATGAGAACACATGGACACAGAGAGAGGAACAACATACACTGGGGCCTGTTGGGGGATGGGGAGTGAGGGGAGGGAATTTAGAGGATGGGTCAATAGGTGCAGCAAACCACCATGGCACTCATATTCCTATGTAACAAAACTGCACATTCTGCACATGTATCCCGTTTTTTTGTTTGTCTGTTTTTAGAATAAATAGATAAATAAGAACACTTTGTGTTCCAGGAAAACTTAATTCAGATGCTCAACACTAAAGTGTATTCAGTTTGACTTATGAATCCTACAGGTAAAGGAAAAATTATTCCATTGGTCCAGAGAGATCTCCCAAGGGAAAGAAATATGACCCCAAAATATTATATCCAGCCAAACTGCTGTCCAAATAAAAGCGTAGACATTCCCACATGTGAAAGAACTTGAGGCATAAGGCACTCAGAAGCGCTTACTGATTAAACAACTTGAAGATAAAATTCTAATGACTCAAATTTAAAAACTCGTTAATGTAGAAATCATAAAAATTAGGGTTATCATTGAATCGATTTATACATACAAGTCATGTTAAATATTCTGGGAATTACAGTTTCATAATTAAGTGTAAACATTAAAAATCTTGACAATACAGTAATTATAATATAAATAATAAATATTTGGTGGTATAGAAAGCAGAAGTGGGAAAAATGTGAAAGTATAAACATCTTCATCTTTCATGACCTAAAATTGAAACATAGAGTGAATCTAACAACTTGACAAAACCTATTTTGTCTACATTTGCAATCCTCTTTATAAAATATTATTTCTTGTGGTTAAAACACCACCACCAACATTTATTTGAACTTCAGCAAATGTTCAGTTTTACTTTAGTTTCTTTCTGATAAGTTAAAACAAAATTAAAATTCAATGGTTTTTAAAAATTACTGCACAAATTATAATCTTGTAACAGTATTTAATCAATTCATTTTATATAAATATACACATATTAAGATGTCTAGCATAACATTCAATCAACACGTTAGCAATGTTCATTTTGAGTAGAATTTGAGGTGGTTGCTTTTGCCTTCTTTGTAACAACTTGTTCTGCATTACCTGAACTCTTTGTAATAAGCATGTGTGAGTTTTAAATAGTAAAAACACAAAGTGATTTTTCCTGCACAGAGGAAGAGAAACAGCTATGGATGCTTTTTTAGGAACAGAACCAATAACACAGGAAATTTCCATTACTTATATCTCACCAGACCTGCATATTCAGTCTTGATTTATGGTACGACAGGGAATACACAATTTATCTAAACTCATTATCTATTTTGTTATTTGATCTTTGTGAGTTTTTTGTTTTTCCCTAAGACTTGCCAGATCTGTAGGAGGCAGACAGAAATAGCACCCCCGAGAACAGACAATAAAATTGAGACAAGACGTAGTTGTCTCATGTTTTCTATCAATCCTTCCTAGGATTGCTATAGAATGTTTAAAATAAATTATAGAACCTGATTAATCATTATATGAAAAGCACAGAATAGAAGATTTTTGTTCATGTTATATGATATTCCTTTTTAGTACTGTATGCTGAATTGGTGATATTCTTTTAAGCAAAACAGAAAAGAAAGCACCTAAGCCATTTTTCATTCTGATTTTTGAGCCAGCACCTTGTTAGTTTGGCCTTCACTATCATTTATGTCACTGCGGTGATGAACTAGATTTGAGTGTCTAATCTAAAGTCGAAACGTATTTTTAAATAGAGGCTCTTTTTTGCTCATAATTTTGAGGAATAAATTTAACCATGAAGTTAAATGGGTTTTGTCCTTTTTTTTTTTTTTTCTTTTTTGGCACTGGAGAATGACATCTCAAAACTAGCCTTATTCTGTAAAGCAATTCTTCCTGTCTTTCCAAATGATGAAAACCCAACTTGAGTATTTCCTGAGGGAGACCAAAGTTACGGACACTGGCAGAGCCCATTGGGAAACAGGAGCTGAGCATTTTTAGAGGCTTCATACCATTTAAACTTAAAAAAAAAATAAAATAGGCCATAGAATGCATTTCAATCATCTTGCAAACATACAGCTTTTAATATCCTTTTGTTTTTAACATTCTCTCAAATTAACCATCGATTAGAAAATTTCCATTCAATATGTAAAACATATTCTAAATGAGAAAAAGACTACTCAAAGCTAAGTAAGGAACAATATAACATCAATATTTGAGAACCAAGATTATATCCTAGTGTTTTTAAAATGATATTTTATGTGATGCTTGGATTTTTGTTGTTTTAATTTGTTTCAATATGTAATTATTTATTTGTTATATATTTATGTATATTTATACATTGACCTATATGTTCATATTGTATGGAGAGAAAGAGATCAGAGACTACATACAAACCCCACTCTCCCTTTTATTATGTACTATATAGTGTTGAATAATTTCTTAATCTCTTGGTTTCTATTTCCTCCCCTATAAAGCTGGGATTACATGTCTTGCTCTACCTGTTGGAATTGTGTAAAAATGAATTAAATAAAATCATGCATACGAAAATACTTTAGTAAACTATAAACCAATTTATATAAGCATTTTGTTATTTGTATATCTAATAGGCATTTCTTCCAGTGGTTATTTTGTTGTTTGCATAAAAATCCAGTAAAACCTATCTATGAATGATAAATTTAATTCAAAAAGAGAGGTGAGTCTCAGTTCATAATTTATAATCCTGTAATATGTAGGCACAAAAACTTGATCATATTTCTATTCTCCTTCATCATCTGCATTTTACCATATCCTCACTGAATGTTTTTTCACTCTCTCCTTAAATACATGTCTCAAAACTCTATGTATGGCCAGGCACGGTGGCTCAGGCCTGTAATCCCAGCACTCTGGGAGGCTGAAGCGGGCGGATCACCTGAGGTCAGGAGTTCGAGACCATCCTGCCCAAAATGGCAAAACCCTGTCTCTACTAAAACTACAAAATATTAGCTGGGCATGGTGACAAGCACCTGTAATCCCAGCTACTCAGAAGGCTGAGGCAGGAGAATCACTTGAACCCAGGAGGTGGAGGTTGCAGTGAGCTGAGATCACATCACTGCACTCCAGCCTGGGCGACAAGAGTGAAACTCTGTCTCAATAAAAACAAAAACAAAACCAAAAAAACCTCTATGTGTATATTTTCTCTAATTACGTAATTACATCAGTACCTTTCATTTTGAAAAGTAATGATCATTAGAAAATTCTTCTTTATATTAAAACAAATTCAGCCATCTCCAAATTTCCACCAGTCATTCTAATTCTTCTCACTGACATCAGTAAGAATAGATACATCAACCTTAATATATCCGAAACAGAATTCTCAATATCATCCTCAGGCTTGTTCCCCTAACGCCATTCACACTCTACTCTGTCCTTCAATGCCTCCCTGAGATGCCATTGATCAGCAAGCCTGTGGGTGCTCCTTTGAAAAGGTAACCAGAATGGAACGTGTCTAATCAGCTCAGTGTCACCACCTTGGCACAAGTGACCTTCATCCCTCAATTAGACAATCACAATAGTTTCCTGATTGATATTCCTTCCAGTCTAGCCCTCTTAGAGTCCTTTCTCAACATAGTAGCCAAATTGACTTTATTTATATCCTTTAATTGCTTCCCTTTGCACTTAAAGCCCCAAGGCCTTATGTTGCCCATAAAGTCCTAAATAATCTGGTCCCACCTGTTCTCATGTGTCCTCACTTATTCTTTACCATACTTCACCCTTCTCCAGACAAATGCACCCTCTTGCTGCTCCACAAACATGGTAGTTTCAGACTAACCACAGGGTCATGGGTCATTACACTGGCTCTTTCCTTTGCAGTATTTGCATATCTCTATAGCTGGCTCCTTATCATGGAGGTCACTGCTCAGATATCAACCCAGAGAGGCTTTCTTTATCCTATTGACAACAGCTACATACTTCCTTCACTGTTTTGTCTTCATAACATCTATTACTATTTAAAATATCATATTTATTTTTTTGTTTATTACCTCTCCCTCACTCCAGAATATAATCTCAAGAGGGCAGGGATAATATGAATCTTGTTTATTATATCTTAAATAGCTCCTATAATTGTACCTAAAGAGTACAATTGTACCTAAAGAGTTAACATAATAGGCCCACCTCAGAAAGGCCTGCTTGCAAGGATAATCCTTGGCAGGTGCCTGGAAACTTAAATAGTAGACGATTTCCTATATGGGCATAAACTTTCTTTAATGATAAGAGTGACTCATTGTGCCTAGACTGTGCAACAATGCAGTTTATGCTGAACACCTGCTTTCCATCTGGAAGTATGGAATTTTGGTAAGTGGTAGGCAGAGCGCACCTGTGTGACTAGTTCCCCCCAAAATCTTTGGGCACTGAATCTGTGATGAGCTTCCCCGATAGACAACGTTCCATACATGTTGTCAAATTTGATGATGGTGGAATTTGGTGCATTCTGTGTGACTCCACTGGAAGAGGGCTCTTGGAAGCTTGCGCCTGCTTTCCTCTGGACTTTGCTTCATGTAGCTTTTCCTTTTGTTCTTTCTGTTTTGTATGCTTTCACCATAATAAATGTTTTCCATGAATACAACTATTTGCTGAGTCCTGTAGGTACTCCTAGCAAATCACAGAACCTGAGGGTGGTCTTGGGGACTCTGGACATAGTAATCAAAAAGATTATTTGGTCTCCCCAGTTAAAAGTAATCAAATAGAACAGAGTGCATAAGAATTTCTATAATGTGGTAATGGATACAGTATGACAATAAAGCCCATCTTCCTCTGAAATACATTACCCCGTCATGAAATACATTTACTACTTACGTGACTGGTCTGTAGATCTCCTTAACACCAATGAACTGAAGTTGTTCCATAATGTCTGGAATACTTGCACATCGAGTAAGATTGATTCTTGGGTAATAAAGAAGGTATGAGAGACACATTTCACTCCTGGTGCTTAGTCCTCCCTAAAAACAGAGAGTTTATTTAGCAAAGTATGTGGTCTACCAACTTTGACATTTAAAGTACACAAGTCATCAATGTCATACAGTTCCTTCCAGTATTAAAATTTAATAAACCTTAAAGCTGAAAAGTAAAAAAACTGGCTTTTTAAAAAGGTAGTGATACAATTAAAAATTAATAGAATTATTTCCACTTTTAAAATTTGCCTTTCTTAAATAACCTAATAAATTCTGCTGATGGGATGTAAACTTTTCAACACAGTGAACATTTCAGAGAATCATAAGGATGTTTAGTTAGCATAATACCAATCAATCAGGAATTTTTTCAGGACATTTTTCTGATTTAATTGAATTTTCTAGAATCTTGTCTTCATGTGTATAAACATTAGCAGCTGCATACCACAGGGGAGAAAGATTTCATGTTTTGAATCCAGGTAGTTGATTATCTATTAAAATTTGGAAAAAGATTAAAGACCCTCAAAAGAACAGAATCCAGAGTTACTACAACATATTATCTAATATGTCTAATTTCAACCAAAAATTATTAAGTGGGAAAAGAAACAGGAAATTATTGTCTATATTCAATGGAGAAAAGTCAGTAGAAATGGATTGTAAGATTGAGATGCTGGATTTATCACACGATGACTTGAAAACAGATAAAAAAATATGTTCAATAAAGCTGTTTTAAAAAGTGTTCAAAGAGTTAAAGAAAAACATGCTCAAGTAATTAAAGGCAAATATCTTAAAAATGAGTGAACAGAGAAGGAATGAAATCAGGAAAGAAAAACATTTTTAAAAATAGAAATTCTATAGCTGAGAGGTACCAAAACGAAATAAAAACTTCACAGGATGAGCTCAACAGCAGGTTTCAGATGAGCAAGGAAAATATCACTGAACTTGAAGATTAATCAATAAAAATTGTCCTATTCAAATAATAGAGAGATAAAAGACTAAAGAAAAGTGAAAATACTTCAGAGATCTATGGGACAATATTAAATGTTCTAGCATTTATGTCTAACATATACATATGTTTTCATTTATGTTAAATACATGTAATTGGACTTCTAGAATGAGAGGAAGAAGACATAAAGGTAGAAAAAATATTCAAAGGAATAATGCCTGAAATAACCTCCAATTTAATGAAAAACATTAACTTACAGACCCAAGACGCTCAACGAAAGCCAAAGGTAAATACAAAAAGAGCCATACCTAGACACATCACAGTCATACTGCTGAAAACCAAAGATAAGAGAAAATCTTGAAAGCAGCAAGAGAAAAATGACACATCACATATAGGTGAACAAGAATACAGCTGACAGCTGATATTTCATCATAAATGATGGAAGTAACAGATATTATAATTATATATTCACAAGTGTTGCAAAGGAAAAAGCAACTGCCAACCAAGAATTCTGTATCCAACAAAATCCAACTTTCAAAAACAAAGGTGAAAAATTTAATACTGTTTATATTCTAAATTAATGTAGGGGCTAATATACAATGATTTTACTAATTGCAAAAACATGACATTTTGCACTTGATGAGCAAGGTAGGATTAGGCAAAGGGAGATGCTGATCTGCAAATGAAGTTGCATCTGATGCCTCAGTAAATGCTGTATTTAATATATCCTTAAGTTAGGATGGCTGTTCAGAGTTGTACCAAATTGTAGAAAGAAAGCTGGGCCTTTGCAGCCTCTTATCAACTAGTCATTGACTGCTGGCTCTCCTACTGTAAGAAGTATAATTTTAAGGAGTTATTCTCTAATACCAAGGGGAATTTTCATTGAGGTACACTCCTGTTAACTATCATATTGTCATCTGATATTCCCAGTGGCTGAGGTTTGGTTGTGTTGGCCCTGAAGAGGGTATCAAGACAGTGCACCAAAATACTCACTACAATAATAACTTATTTATTATATATTTAGTAAAATATTTCAACAACAAAAATTATAAATAAGGCATGGGAAAAAAATAAAACCAACACCAGTATCTTGACTACTCCGTGTGTGTCCAGCTTCTAACCCTCTTCTTCCCATTTCAACCAAAGGTGATTACTATGTTAATATTTTTTCTTTCTGTTGCTTTTCAGTACACTTTACATTCAGTATATTGAAGTTTGTATCCCCAAATAATATACTGCTTAATTTTCTTGAACTTTACATACATAATATCACACTATATATATTCTGCTACAAGCTCACTCTTTTCAATCAACATTATTTCTTCTTCAGATACATTCATGTTAATATAGGCAGCTTTCATTCATTAGTTTTCATGACTTTACACTGTTTCATTATATAATGCCATATTTATTTGTTCTCCTTTTGATGGGTATTTGAGATATTTCCAGAATTTTTTCATTCCTATATTATTACATGTAACTATGAATAGCTTATATATTTCTCTCCTGAAACGCATTCTGCAAAAGTAATTCCAAGGTTAAATCTACATAGGAATGGAATTGAGTAGAGTATATATGAATCTCTAATTTTACTAGATAATGCCATGTTTTTACCCAAGATGGTTTTACAAATTCAAATCACTACTAGCAACATATAAGTGTTCCAGTTTCAGCACAATGGAAATGCTATTTTAAATTTTGCCAAACCGGTGAGTTCAAAATATCTTACTCTGGTTTACATTTGCATGATTTTGGTTTTAAACAAAATTGAGCATCTTTTCATATATTTATATTACCTATATGGGTTGTTATTTCTTTGAAATGCTTTTGTCTTATCCTATTTTATTGTATACTTCTCTTCTGTTACTGATTTGTGGACTTTGTTTTATAAGCTGGATACTAATGGCCTGTTAATCTATGTATTGCAAATATTTTTTCCCAGCTTAAAACTCTTTTTAATTTCTTAATAGTGTTTTATTTTAGTAAGCAAAAGCTTTGATGTAGTCAAATTCATTAATCTTTTATTCATAGTTTGTGCTTTTTATGCTTTGCTTAAAAAATTCTTAAGTACTCCAAAGTCATGAAGACATGTTCAAGTACTTTTTCTTCCAGTGGTTTTAAATTTTCACTGTTCACATTTAAATATTTAATACATCTGGCATTGATTGTTATGCATTTTGTAAAATTAAGACTCAGTTTTATTTATGTCAGGGATATCCAATAGTGCCAGCATCATCCTTTAATAAAAAGTTTATCCTTTTCCATTTATCTAAGTGCTATGTCTGTCATAAACTAAGTTTCCATCTGCAGAATTTGTAGGTCTGTTTCTGAGATGCCTCTTCTGTTCCAAGTCTTCTAACTTGGGACTCAAAGCATACTGTAATAATCACCAGCTTTAAAATAAGCCTTCTTATCTAGTAGATTGTTTTCTATTTTGTTCTTTTTAGTTTTGTCTTGCCGATTTTTAACATTTTGCTCTTCTGTGTAAATTTTAGAATCAACTTGCTCCACATAAAAGCTAAAACAGCAAAATATTTACCTAAATAAAAATAGATGAAAATATTTGCAGCCTTGGTCCAGTAAAGATTTCTTAGCTAGGATACCAAAATCTCAAATTGTAAAATTTCTCTGATTTGTTTTTACTAGAAAATATCAAATTTATGGGCCAATTTGAATAGAAGTATTTTCTTTATTTTACTGAGCCTTTCTATCCATGAACACAGTATGTCTTACTGTCTTTAGGAATTCTTTAATGTTTCCCAATAAAGATTTATACTTTTTTTTTTTACAGAGATCAAACACATCTAGTGTTAGATTTTATTTCTGTTTAATTTTTATTTTAAATTGTATTTTCTTGAGATAATTTCTTATACACTGAAATGCAATTAATTTTAGATAGTATCAGTTTGGAGGAGGGTTTGATGCAGAAAACTACAATATCTGTGAATAACGTGTTTTGCTTGTTCACTTCTTCCTTTCTGAACCTTATATCTCATTTTCGTTTCTTTTCCAGTACAATGTTGAATACAAGTAGTGATAACAAATACTCTTATATTCTTCCTAACTTGACAAAAACACTTACGGTATTTCATTTAATTTAATATTTGCTATAGCTTTTTCATAGCTAACTTCTACCTAGTTAAGATAATTCCTTTCTATTTCAGGCTTGCTAAATGTCTCCCCTGTCAACAATAAACTTGAATTTTATGACTGCTTTCTCTACCTCTGTTGAGGTGATTATATGTCTTTTTCCTTCCATATCTTCATGTAGAAGGCTTTAATATATTTTCTAATTTAAATCCATTTTATATTCCTTAGCTAAACTCAAGTTGGTCTTATTAGATTTGTATATAAAAAAGGATTTGGTTTTTCAAGCTCTTGTCCAAGTTATTTCCAACGGCGCGTACTACTGGCCCCTTCTATACTATCCTTGTGAAGTTTTAGTTTAAAGGTTATGTTAACTACATTTTATGACTTGGTGGGAGGTGTTCCCTCTTTTTGTGTTCCTGAAAGAGATTGAGTAAGACATGAATTATCTATTTCTTGAACGCTTGGTGGAATTCCCCCAATAAATCTGTTGGGACCAGATTTCTCTTTGAGTCAGAGGCCAAGAGGTCATGAAATTCATTCTTCCTTTGGAGGTCTGGATTTATCTAAGCCAGACACAAGCATACAGTCAATTAATGACCACAGTTCTTTTAAAACTATTAGATGAGAAAAATTAAAAGACTAAGGATAGCTTTTAATGAAAGAATCAATAAATTATACTCCAAATATTATTTAATACTATAATATCATTAGTTAATTTGAAGTCTTAGAAAATGCTAAAACATCTCTGATGTCACTTTTATGATACTTGATGCTCAAGATTTTTAGAACTTTTCTTTCCAAATGGAAATGGTTTTTACTTGTTTCTTCTAAAATCGTTTATTTCTTTTTCTCCATAAATGAACTTTATTAATAATAAAAGTTTTCTTACCCAAGTCATCTCAGCTCTATCTTTCGTGTTGTAGCGACATTCAGTAATTAGGTTATCTCCCTGAAACATAAAAGTAAAAGCTTTCAGATTGAAGTTTTATGCTGGCTTATTTATCAAATATATTTGTACTTCAACAGTTAATATTTGCTGTATGAATGGATGCACCAAGTAATTTGATTCAGCAGAAGACCTCTGATCTGTTTAATTCTAGGTTTGTTAATATAACAAGCAAGCAAACAAATAATACTCTCTGTGTTTCAGCCAGACTCCACAACATTCTAGCTGGATGCCCTACGTATAACCCAGGCATAATTTGTTCATCTAAAACCTAAAGATAAAAATTGTTCTTATTTTTGGTCCCAGCGATGAGGCTCATGCCTGTAATCCCAGCACTTTGGGAGGCCAAGGCAGGTGGATCATGAGGTCAGGAGTTCAAGACCAGCCTGGCCAAGATGGTGAAACCCCATCTCTACTAAAAATGCAAAAATTAGCCAGGCATGGTGGTGGGCACCTATAATCCCAGCTCCTCAGGAGGCTGAGGCAGAGAATTGCTTGAACCCTGGAGGTGGAGGTTGCAGTGAGCCAAGATCGCACCACTGCACTCCAGCCTGGGTGATAGAGCGAGACTCCATCTCAAAAACAAACAAAAAAAAAGTACTTATTTTTTTCACAGCTGTTACAAGGAGATTAAATGACATAACACATAGTCATTAGCAGCAAATGAACACTTAATAAACCTTAGATATAGATAGTAGATATTGTGATCACCTCTTCATTTACATTATTTTCTTTAAAGCTCTCTAATCAAGCTTTTATTTCCTTACAATTGAATTGTGAGGAAAATTAATAGAAATTTATTGATCTAGTGTTTTCTACCCTTTTGTACATAACAATACACATGGAAAATGATAACATTTTTATGTCTCCCATTTAAGGTAAGCAGATGAAGCTATTCATGGACCTGAGACTGCCATCTTTGGGCTTTCCCCCTTAAATTTGACCTCCCTGCAACACCACTCAGAGGGCCCGCAACACCACTCAGAGGGCCCAGAGATTAGTATCTCATCGCACTTAAGCCATAATCATGGTACAGCAGTTAGGAAGCTCTGAGATAACACTGTTTGGAAAGCCCCGGAGACATCATAATAAAATAGAGTGCAGTCCTTAAGAACCTTGACAAGATCACTGTTTCTTAAACTTCTTCTTTCTACTCTCAGGATGTATCAAAGAATTTCTAAGATCCAAAGCTATGGATTTGTAAAAAGAAGATCCCTTTCCTCTTTATCACTTTCTTACGTTTTTTTCCAACTTTCCTTTTATATCCTATTGTGCCATGTCTTCTCCTTGACAGTTCATCCCATCTAAAAACCCTATCTCCAGCATCACGTAGAAAAGATATTGCCATTACTCTCATTTAATAAATGGTATAGGGATCTAACTTTTAAAAGTAAAATAAGGGGAGAAAATTAAACTACAATTAAACTTGATGGTCATGGAATAAAAATTTGAGAAAACAAAGTATTATAACATTTTTAAAGTCTTCATTCTCTTCTCTCCTTCACCATAACCTCAAATATGTGTCAAGCTTGATCACACAGCAAAGTTTAATTAGCTACATCCAAATAGCTTTATCAGATAAAAGAATTATCCTTACATTCCTTCTTCCTGAAATGAAACTTCTAAAAATATCCTATCTTGTCAATGTAGCATAAATACACCTCTGATTTTACCGATGCAGGAATCGCAACCCAAAGAATCACTAACTGGAATGTCAAATATAAAAAAAAGAGTAATGTTTAGTCCTCAGAACCTGAGATTTTTGTTTGGGGTTGTTTTTCAGTCAGCAACTTGAATTACTCCTGTGAATCATAAGAAAAATGAGTTTCAATTTTGGAAAACAGATCAAACACATTCTATCTGGGTTGTACAACACCCACAGTGGGTGGTGTTAAGAATACAGATACAAAGAAAAATTCATATCACTAGTAGAAACCTTGCACATCTCAGCAAATACGTCTCATGACTTTTATAACAGTCAATGAAAAAGAACAAAAACAAGCATACTGGTAAGATTGTTTGCTCTTCCTTTAGATACTGAAACTCCTGGAAATTGAAGTCAAAATCATCATCATAGGCAAGTAATTTCATTTCCTTCCCTTTTCGAAAATGACGCAGCCTGATGCCTCTGCCAGCCAGGTGAGCATGGAGAAGAACAGCAAACACATGAATTCCACTTGGCTTTTCGGCTTCCAGAGCCTGCAGGGGACACCGAGGAAGACCCGATTAGCCCAAAGAAATGCATGTTCAGACAGTTCACATTCAAACACACTTGGAGGGACAACTGAGATGAAAAGCTAAAGCAATTTAAATGAATGCTTGAGCTGCCAAACATTTTGAACTCGGATTGTTCAGTGTTCTCCTTGTGAAGCAACATATGCCGGGAGAAAAGGAGGGGAGCTGATGCCTATGAGGGGCCTCCCAGACAATCTATACATGTTATCCTCCTTTTTCCTTCTTTTAGGAGGATAAGAGGCAGTAAACACTCTTAGCAAAAAGATTCCAGTATGTTAGTAACCTGAAAACCCAAATTCTTAAAAGGAATATTATTCCCACTTTTGCAGATAAGAAAGTGAAAGTGGGTCAATGGAATTAAGTGAATCACTCATGGTCCTACAGCTTGTAAAAGAGGTCATGGCAATTTGAATTATGAACTGTGGCCTAAATAACTCGGAAGAGCATAATCTTTCCACTTCGCCAGTCTGCCATACTGTCCTGAACCACAATATCATATAATTCATAAACAGTCTGATCCATGCTGAAATATTTTCATTAAAAAACTTTAAGTGAAAACTGTCATTACTAAATACTTATACTTTTCTCCTATTCAATGTCTTTTTTTATATTAGTTATTTTTGCTCTCTGGTGAAGGAAGGGAAGGAAACTATAAGGCAGAGAAAAATGAAAATAAATGATGGAAAAAATCAATATGGATAAAAGATAAACTAGAGAAAGGAAAAAGAGACTACACAAAAGTCGAAATTGTAAAAGATGATATAAAGCATGCAACATGCAACAAACAAAAAAGGTAGGAGTAAGAAGGAAAACACCCTGCCAACTATTTCTATCTTTAGAGTTCTACTCCTGTAGCTTCAAGACTTAAAAAAGCAGTCAAAAGTCCTACTAAAATTGCATTAATGGTTTCACAGTGTGTCAACAAAAAAGGAATCGATAATAAACATGCACAGAATGTTTCACACAATAGTTTGTAAGAGCATTGATGAATCTGCAGAGAGCAGCTCAGACTCAGATGCTGCATACCTCTTCTAGGCACTCCAGAGTACAGTGACCCTCAGACTGGAACTCAGGCATCCCTGGAGGGATGGTATGGAAGAGGCTCACCCAGAGGCCAGCCTCAATTACCCCAGCATCATATTTCCTTATATCCATGGTATAAAATAACCTCAGTCCAGAATTATCTATTAAGCCTAGAACAAAAGCACATAATTAAAGGGAGTTTCAGTTCTTAAAATGTTTTCATTCCCAAGAAAATTCTTGGTTTGAATTTTTTAAAGTTTTCATATTCTGTTGAAATAGGTTTATTTATTTTCCATAAATTGTCATGAGGGAAAGAGATACAAGCAGAGATTAGTGGCAGACAACATTCAGTTGCATAAACAAGAATTAAAAGATGAGTAGCCATATTGCCTGCAACCTTTGTGGACTCACACAGCATACCACAAGAGAAATGTTTCAGTTATCTGGCTGTTATATTCCACCAATTATCTAATATGAAGACAGAATGAAGATTCTAAAGTCATTCATTAGAATATAGAATAAATAACTCAATAAAAGTTTTACATTGTTTCAAGATGAAGTTCGATAACATTTACTTTGAGGTAAAAACTCCTTAGTTTAGAAACCATCTGCTGATTAAGAAAACTGCTAAAGATTCACTTTATTTCTTTAAAGTTTGTCACCATTTTCTTCTTCATTCAACAGCCATTCAATCAACACACAGTCATTAAGAATCCATTATGTAAATGGCACTGCATTAGGCACTGTGGGGATGAGAGATGAAGAAGACATACTTGTTGTTATGACATATTCATTACAGGGAGGGAGAGTATAAGCCCTAAACATTTCATAAATTCATTTCACTAACTTGGAAATTAATTGACTTCCTGCTGCAGTAACTAATAGATTGATTCCTTCCCCTCAGTTCCTTTTTTGTCTCATTTAAATCAATCAGCTTAATCTATTTCTAGTCGATCATTTTTAAACACAAAGTCTTTATATCAAATATTCCTCATTGTATGTTATACACCCCTCGGTCACAAACACACACACACACACGCACACACACACATTTAGAAGATATCCATTACTTTGAATGTTTTAGGATATAATAAGTTGTTAAAATTAAGTATTCCAACAATTATCCCAGGAAATTCTTACCTCTTAACCTCCCTAACAGCCTTGGAAAAAATCCAAGCTTCCTTTCCTGCTTCGTGAGTGTGTTATTGTGAACATAAAATAATTTACTATGTGTTTGTTGACTCCAGCTTGTTCAGATATTCAGGGTCATCACAAGGAAGCACTGTGATGTGACAATTAAGGACACTGACTCTGGAGCTGACCAACCTGGATGCAAATCCCAGCTCTGCTGCCTCTGAGTTATGTGACCTTGGGCAAGTGCTATGGTTAAATGTTTATCCCCTCCAAAAAGTACGTTTGAATGCTGTCAAAATTTAATGGCCATTGTGATGGTATTGAATGGTGAGACCTTTGAGAGGTGTCTAGGCCATGAGGGCTCTGCCCCTGCGATTCGATGAATGCCATTATTTCAGAAGTGGCTTTGTACTATCTTGCTCTCTTTACCCTTCCACCATGTGAAGCCTACTGCCATGTTATGACACAGCCCTCATCAGATGCCAGTACTTTGTACTTGTACTTCTCAGCTTCCAAAACTGTGACGAATAAGTTTCTCTTCATTATAAACCACTTAATCTGTGTTATTCTGTTACAGCAGTACAGAACAGATGAAGACAGGAAGTTATCTAAACTGTTTGTGCTTCAGTTTTCCAGTATGGAAAATGGCCATAATAATAGCACTAGTACCTCACACAATAACGGTGATGTGTGGCTTGAACACGAAGTTCTAAGAACAGTGTTTGGCACAAATGAGGTGCTCAATAAATGGCAGCTAGTCACACATATATTGGTCACACATCTACCAGGGTTTCAATCAATTGTTAAACAAATAAATCATAAAAATCAATTCTCCTTTTGTGCTATTATCAGTGCAGATACAAATGAGCATGATAACGTAGAACATCTATAGTGACCTTAGAATTTTCTCTGGACATATCTTGCAAAATTTTGTTTTGTGTTTTATATTTTTGGGACCTACCTCCTTATAATAGCTTGACAGGGAAAAAATATGAGTAGAAATTTCAGTTGCATTTAGTATAGTTAGGTTCATTAGTTGCATTAGCTGTTTGGACCATTAATAGATAATCTAGTAAATAAAGTAATAATTTCTTAAGCAAATATAAAATGATTATTAAAAAACTTTTCTGGAAACATAGATTTATATTATGCTACATTTATAAAAATAAAATTATTATAATCTAAAATTTGGTCTAATTATGTATATGAATAAAAATAGAAAGTACTAAAAATCCTGAGTTCTCTATTAATCTGTTAGGAAAATAAGCTTATGTTTCATTTTTACATTGAAACTATGATAAAGTCAACTTAATTGACAACAGAGAAGGCAAATAAATTAAACCTTCTACTTTTGTAATAAACACTAAAAGGAAGAAGTAGTTCACATGGAATTTCCAATTGGAGAAGTATCATACATTATATAACATATTTATTCTATTAATAATTTAAAATAAAAAATGTAAAAAATTTTTAAAAGAAAAGTTGCAATGTAAGACATATTCAATAATTAATCCCACTGTTATTGTGATGACAATTTTTATGTTTTATAGTCACATATAATTTCATAGAAAATCTAACTTTTAGAATTTATTAACAGGTTATTTTGCTTGGTTTATGAAAGTTTTAAACTTTATCATAGATTCATGGTTCAGAGTATGGGATATAATTGGTGGGTAGAAATTAAAGTGAATTCAGAGAGAAACTATTTCCTATTAATTACTTTAGGGTATGAAAAAGATACTTCATTGGCTTGCTCACAAATAGAATAGCTTAACACCTACTTTTATAGAAACATCACTCTTCAAATATCATACCACGTGTGCTCTCTTCAAAATCTATTATTCATGCTGCAGCAGCCAGAGTGTTCTTTCCAAAATACAGATCTCAATATTTGATTCCACTGTATCAAACTCTTCAATTGCTTCTCATTGTCTTCAGGGGAAAAATCCTTAACAGGCCCTACAAGATCTTAGATGGTCTGCTTCAGCCTTCCTCTGCAGGTTCATCAGCATCTTTCTTCACTGCACCCTAACCCTTCAGCATCTCCAGTCACCCAGATGAACAGTTTGATTCTTTAACAAAGACTTTCTAGCCCATCCTCACCACCACACACCCCTGGCTGGATGAGGTCACTAATTAAATACTCTCATAGTGTCAGGTATCTCCTTTGGATCAATTGGCACATATATAATTTCATATGATTGCTGTGATCATTTGATTGTTTCTCTTTCCCACTGGGCTATAATTTCCATGAGGGTGGGAGCAGCATCTGTTTTTCACACACATTATATCCTCAAGCACAGATCTGGCACATAGGTGGAGCTCAGTATTTGCTAAAAGATTGCATGAGTCAATACAAAATAACAACTTGGAATTACTCCTGTTGATAATTTCATGTTAAATCTACCAATGTTGGGATTTGGAATATCATACAAATGATTTCAGAAATCAAATGCACATCCTTACATTTCTTCACTTCAATATCATATTACACGGTGTCACTGCATAAGTACTTTATGAGTATATCTATGATTTGCTTACCACACAACAAAATGCTTACACTTTTTAGTATAATAAATGGTATCTTTTTCTTATGTGCAGTTAGAAAGAAAATGTTCCATAAACACCATGTACTGGGACTAATCTACATCACAAAGGAAAAGTCTATTACTCTACTTTCTGGTAGGTAGTATGCAAGTGTTTTTGTTAAGATTAGTGACTGCATGTGCTCATTTACCTAGTTTGGTGCTGGTTAATGCCTGCTGTTACAGTATAATTATAAACAGTACCCATTTTCACTTCTAAAAGTCTCCTAATTTGAATGACAAATGTATAGGTTAATTCTTTCTAGCATTGGCTTCCGTTTTGTTTCAACTCTGTTAAAGACACGACTTACAAGGTACAAAACTTTTTATAAAAACCATAAGTAAAATATGTGAACAATAAACTCACCTTCCTCATAAGTCGGATTGTCATAATGGACTTCTAGGAGCACATAATGCGGATCTAATGGAGTGCCGAGGGATAATCCAACATGAGGTGGATAAGAAAAACCCTAAATATGGAAAATGCCATGAGACAGTGTCCTGTGAAAGTCCCTGAGAGCTCTATTCCACTCAAAAACCCACCATTTTCAAGGATATTTCAACCCTCTGGAACCGCATTCATCTACAACTGATGAAATAAAATAAAAATAACTTAAAGAAAGGATCCCTTCCTATGAAAATGGAGTTAAGCCACCTTCATATCAAAAGTAGCATTAGAGCTTTACTCCTAAGTACTAATTTACTTCCAAGTATTTACTTCTAAGTAATAATTATTAATCATTAGCCCCACCTCTCCACCAATAGCCCAGGCAAAAATCACGGTTTCACAGGTGAGGAATGCATCGGGCATGTTGGGGTGATAGCACTCGTGGCCGGACTCCAGAACACTGTCGTTAAAGTTGCTGCTGCACTGATAGAGCAGGATGTGGTGCACCAGACTCTCGTGGCCTCTCTGTATCACTGGCTCAACCTACGCGAACATAAATGAGAGGGAGGACACAATAAATAAAACCATCCTACAACACCCCACAACAAACATGAAACTAGCATAAATTATTATCAGTTTCTCAAAGGGACATTCTTCTCAATTATGTCAAGGTTGTGTAGTTCAAGTCTAATTTGTTCTGGAGATAGTGACAATGGTAAAGATAATGATGATGACAATGGCAACAACAAAGATGAGATAACCATTTACTCCAAGAAACAGGACTCTACTAATCGGCTTTTTTGGTTGTTAATTCACTGATGGTGTCCCTTGCCCATTCTGCGGAGCAATTGTTTTGAAACTTGTTTGCTTTCCCCCAGACTTGCTCTTCCTCTTCCTCCTTCTTGCTTTTTTGTTTAAAAAATTATACTTTAAGTTCTAGGGTACATGTGCACAACGTGCAGGTTTGTTACATATGTATACATGTGCCATGTTGGTTTGCTGCACCCATTAACTCATCATTTACATTAGGTGTATCTCCTAATGCTATTCCTCTCCCCTCTCCCCTCCCCCCACCCCATGACAGGCCCCAGTGTGTGATGTTCCCCTTCCTGTGTCAAAGTGATCTCATTGTTCAATTCCCACCTATGAGTGAGAACATGTGGTGTTTGGTTTTCTGTCCTTGCGATAGTTTGCTGAGAATGACGGTTTCCAGCTTCATCCATGTCCCTACAAAGCACATGAACTCATCCTTTTTTATGGCAGGATAGTATTCCATGGTGTATATGTGCCACATTTTCTTAATCTAGTCTATCATTGATGGGCATTTGGGTTGATTACAAGTCTTCGCTATTGTGAATAGTGCTGCAATAAACATACGTGGGCATGTGTCCTTATAGCATTTTTTTCCACACACACAAAAAAAAGAAGTCAAGGCTGTGGGCACAAACGCTCTTAGTCTCCCTCTCTTCCACCTCAAAATGTTATCTTTACCCATCCCTACCAGAGGTAAGAGGTGAGATCTCATTCATCTCTATAAATGCCTGGTGCTGAGAAGAAGGCTAGGGCTTAATCATTTTTAGTGATGATTTTATCATCAATAAAATTCAAGAAGAATTAAATTGTAAACTGACCTCCAGATTACAAATTGAGGGTATAGCCTAAAACACGAGGATTTCCGAAGAAAATGAATCCACCCATGAAACAACAAGGAAACTTGCTGCAAGTTTCCTTGCACATTTTATTTTTATTTGAATGATTAAGATCAAAAGCCAATAACAATTTTGTTATTAGAATTTGGAAGAGAAAAAATAAAACATTGTTAGCTATGTGCTCTTGTGACACTGCTCAAGTTAAAAGAGGAAAACTAGAAACAAGGAGAATGGGCAGTGAAATTGGTCCTAATGTGAAAAGCGTGATCTACACGAACATGCTCCTTCCACTGTTTGCTCTGTTAGTTCCCTTCATGATGCTACCCGCTTTAGTCTAAGAACCTAGGAATCAACTCAGAATGAGCAAAGCACACCCTAGCATCCCAGAGATTCTATATGCAGACCAAATGGAGCCTTGTACTTGGTGTAGGTGGGCTGTGGGTGTTGGCATCAGTTAGAGCAGCGGTCCCCAATCCAGTACTGGTCCGTGGCCTGTTAGGAACTAGGCTGCACAGCGGGAGGTGAGCAGTGGGCAAGTGAGCAAAGCTTCATCTGTATTTATGGCTGCTCCCCAACACTCACATTACCGCCTGAGCTCCACCTCCTGTCAGATCAGCAGTGGCATTAGATTCTCATAGGAGTGCATATCTTATTGTGAACTAACTGTGCATGTGAGGGATCTAGGTGGCGTGCTCTTTACTAAATTCTAACTAATGTCTGACGATCTGAGGTGGAATAGTTTCATCTCAAAACCACCTCCCCCATCCTCCAGTCCATGGAAAAACTGTCTTCCATGAAACCAGTTCCCTGTTGCCAAAAAGGCTGGGGACCGCTGAGTTCCAGGGTTCCTTTTTCTCCCCCCCTCGGAGTTCTTTGAATCTTTGTTCAGCTGGTAAAGAAGCTCTGGTGTGCTCCTAAATATCCAAGAGTTTAGCCTTAGAGTTCATCAACACTTCTGTGTTTAGTCCTAACTACTCAAATTCAGGCACTGCATTTTGAAATCTTTGCTTGCTCTCTACTTTCAGCATGCACATTTACATGAAGCGTTTTCAGCTGTTTTCTCCTATGGCTTTGTTTTCCATTTTCTCCATAGTTTTTCTCTTTTTTGTAGGAAAATATAAGCAAATGGGGAAACGGTATGTAGTGGGTCGAGTCTGAATGGGCAGCCAAGGAATTCAAGTTTTTAAATCCAGTTTTCTTTTGTGTTACATAGTGAGTCATGGCACACCTAAGCCTCAGGTACATTTTCAACATCACATTCATGGAAAAGACATTGCACACGGTTTTGTTTGCACTTGTTTTGTCTCTAAAAGGTCGTGAGCCCTGAAGGCAGAAACTTTTCTGTTTTGCTTGAAGAGGGTAGTTATTGTTCAAGCATGATTGCATAATAACAATGATTGCACAGAAGTATAACCCAGCATTTCTATAAGAATTTCATTTCTATGTCTAGTTTGAGCTTCTGTCTGAGACTTGACATTTTTGGGTTCCTCAGTCCTCCAAGGGGGACAGGGCACTGCTAAGATGTCAACAGTAAAATATTCAGGCTCATGTGAGATTTTTGCTTTGCTAAGTACCTCATAAGTTCAGGCAGAACCTTAAGGTTGTACTGAGCTCTACAAGGTAGGTCTTGGAAATAAGCCGTTAGGGCAAAGGAGAGTTGGTTACTGTCACGACAGTTTCAGAAACTAGTGGCTTTCACTGAAGAGTAGGAAGAGGGAGTTAAGGGTGTGTGATGCTGGGTGGTGCTTGACTTTGGAGAGCTTCAAATAAACAGTTTGAAAAAAACTTTTAAGAGCAAGTGTTCTTTTTTTTTTTTTTTTTGTCTTCATAGGAAGTGCTAAAACTAACACCAAACTGCAAAGCTACCAATTTATCCCTGGAATAATAATAACATCTATCTTTTATTTAGACCTACTATCTACTAGCCACATATGAATCGTTCTATGTATTTCATTTAATATTTACAACAAATTTATAAGAAAGATGTTATAACCTCATCTTACAGATTTACTGAAACTCAGAGATTAGACAACCAGCTCAAAGTACCACAGCTGGGAAATGGTAGATGGGATTTTAAACCAGGCTGGTCTGACCCCAAAATCTGTACTTTTCTACTGGCTACACATTATTGCAGGAAGCATGTTGGAGATGCATCAAGGACCCTGGAAGTTACTGCCAGTGGGAGGGAGGATGAAAGGCTTCAGTAAGGCAAGTTGCTGACAGCTGATAGCTGTCATCAACAAGGGTGATGACCTCAGGAACCAATGCCAGAAGGTGCTTCTAGAAGTCATTAGCAGGGACCACCACATGCTGATGCCCTCAGAGGTGCAGTGCCAGACTGAGTGTTTTACACCTGGGGGAAGGGGCTCCTGGCCTCCCTGCCACTCTGGTCCCAGTGCCCCTGGGCCTCTAGGATGAGAAGACAGACCCATGGCCTTTCAAGGTGTTCCTTCCTAAAAAGGACAAATATCAAGGCTTCTCTCTGAAACCTGATGAGGGCTTCAAGAAGAATTAAACTGTAATCTGACTTTCCGATTACAGATTGAGGGAGCAGTCTAAAACATGAGGATTTCCTAAGCAAAAACATCAACCCATAAAACAACAAGGAAACTTGCTGCAAACTTGGGTACTGATCACGGGAGGAGAAGATAAAAAGGCTTAGAAGAAGCAAGCCCTTGGCAAAATAGAAACGATGTGAGCAAAGAGAGGGAAAAAAAAGAAAGAAAAAGAAGTGCTTGGAAATGATATGTAAGGATAAATATAAATTATGAGGCTGATAATATGGGAGAAAAAATTACCTGATTATCAAACTCCTGAAAAATAGAAGAATAATTTCTAGAGAGGAAATGTTCAGACCACCATGGGGATATTAAGTGAGACACCAAGAATGTTTCTTAAGGATGGACATAACCTGTTTAGTGGAGGGTACAACTCGAGGAAATGGGAGTACTTTTGATCAGTGCAGGACAGGGCCATTGGCTCAAATATTTAGCACAGGATAGGATTTCCCACAACCCTTCACGCCATGCTTAGAGAGCCTGATGAAGCCAGGGCACTGCTACCAATTCCCTAATGGAGGCTGCTCATTATTTTTCACTCCCACAACAAGTTCTACAAACATTTTAAGCAGTCAACAAACTTGTGTTTTAAACTCTGTTATGATCTTCTTCTTTAGCCAAAGCACCGTCTGAGGAAGCAGAGTGAGGCACACACAGAGCTCCATGCCCCCTTGTGCTTGTTGGCTGAATGCGGCATTAACCCGACTTTCTGATGTGCTGGGCAACCGTCCACAGAAAAGACAAGACTTTTGCTTTTGTATTACTACATTATTTGTAATGACGATAGAGTTATACATTTTTAAATTAAAAATACTAAGACTGTAAAGTATCAGTATATTAAAGAGTAGCACTTAAAAAGTGTTCCTTATTCTGGTTACTTCACACATTCACATTAGTATCACAATCACAGGGGGAATGCCAAGAGTTGCCTCTATTCAAAAAGATTAAAATTGTAGGAATTATTAAAGAAAGTCATGGCCATAGAAAGTATACAAATATAGATATATTGGTATTCCTGACACTGGAATGAACATTTAATTTAATCTTGCATGTAGCCTGGCTATATGATGACAGAAGAAATAAATAAAAAGAAATATAAAGCAGTGCATACGGAAGTGGAGGCAAGACACAAACGTGGAAATTCCCCTGATGACATCAAATTGTGTTATTGATCCCACATTCTTCTACAAAGGTGGGGTGTACAGACCCAGAACGGTGACAGGCCTGTGAGCTGACCTTCCTATGGCAAAACAGACCAAGCAAGGAGGGTCTGGCAGCTGTTACAATCTGTAACTGCTGTACGTATTAAAGGAACAGCCCAGAAACCAGAACACAG